TATTTCAGGTTGAGTAGGTAAGAAAGACTTGGGAGTCAGGACAGAAAATGGTAGATGGTCAGATATGAAGCAGCCATGAAATGCTTGCTGTCATGTATTTTTCAAGGTATCATTTTCCAGTTATTAAAATAGAGAAAATCATTTCAAGGTTGTGCACAGAACACTTGGAAATGAAATCTGCGCTCCTGAAAAGCATTTATTAGATGCTGTCAGATCAGCCGTGAAAATTTTTAATTCAGACAATAGTTACCCATGGATGCATGAATAGTTCTTTTGTGACTATATCATTCTCCCTTACAAAATGTGTTAACTACCTATTTTTAAAATATCCTGACTTATAGGTAAATTCATGAAGACTTTTATGAATTTAGATGTCAGCTAGTTAATTTCACTTTATTAAAAATGGATTCTACTTAAATAATTCAGAGTACAAGAATGAGAGAGACATGAAAGGATGAGGGTGGGCTTCTCCTCTGGGAAATATCAGCTAAGGATCCTACTGACTGGTCTTTCCCATTCCCAGATGTCCAGGAAGGGCCCCAGGACCTGAAGTTTTCTGGCAGCCCATATCTGCCCAAGGAGGTGCCAATTAGATCTGTGGAGTTCAATTCTTGCCATATCTTTATTATACAATTTAGCTTCATACCCCTGAGCACTCCTGGCCAACATTCCTCCTGAGATACCTTCTAACTTGTCTTCTCATTCCAATGATTCACAATTACCAATCTGGAAATTAACTCCATAAATTGACTCCCTGGACCCTCTGAATGCTCCTCAGATCTGGAAGACAGCTTCGTCCTCAGCTCACGCTCCCCAACCCCTACCAATTTCTCTTAACCTCCAGCGGGATCCTGTATCTTCTATGGATTCTCACCGACAACCTTCTTCCCTTTAAGCCATTTATCCTACTACTCCTTGATATCATAGTTCATTATATAGTGGTTTCGAGCCCCAGTCTCAATCCCACTCTAATGTACTCCACTCTTTGAGAGCAGACACCATATTTCCCTTACTAGAATATAAACTCCACAGCAACAGAGCACTTGTATTATTCACTGCCTCATCTAGTGCCCAGAACAGAGACTGACACAAATGCTCAACAAATATCTAGTAAATGGATGGATTTACCCTTAAATTCGTCACATGGCCCAGTTCTGTATTTTGTGTATAACTAATCCTTTATAAAATTTGTTGAATCAAACTTACCTAGTAAAGAGCTGCTTGGCTCCAAAACATGGGATCTAGTATTTTATAAATGTGAATTATGCGCTACCAAGAAAAACTTTTCTAAAGTAATTTCCTGACCTTTTAAAACTACATAATAAAGACATTTCCTGAGATGGGATTTTTTTTTCCTCTCATGAACTTCCCTAATGAGGCCTGAGCCATACCATCTGATGCCAGGCCAATAACTATAAATCTTAAGCTGAAAAAATTCTCTGAAATGCAATCACCTTGTTTTAGAAGTAAGGGGACCAAGACTAAAAAAGCCATGCTGCATTATAACTCAATTCTTGTGCCTTCCATTTCAGTGTCATCCACAACAACCTATTTTGATGTATAGACAATGGAAAAATATTAGAAAAAATCACGGCATGGAATGAGAGTCTGGACCTCTAAACCAAATCAACAGCTCTCTATTCATGGAGGACAAGAACAATAAAAGCATCCCTTCAATTTCTGCACACTAGATATAAGAGAGGAAACCGTGATTATGGGCTTATCATGCTCTGTTCTAACCAATTGGATCAATCTGACACACAGCTATGGTTGAAAAGATCCACTGCCCTGAAAAAATGCAATACAGTTGACCCGTGAACAATGTGGGGGTTAAGGGTGCTGACCTTCTGAGTAGTTGAAAATCTGAGTATAATTTATCTTCAGCCCTCCATATCTGCAGTTCTGCATTTGAAGATTTAAGCAACTGCAGATCATCAAGTACTATAGTGTTTACTATTGAAAAAAATTCATGTATAAGTGGACCTGAGCAGTTCAAACCCACATTGTTCAACGGTCCGCTGTATCATGACCTTTACAGATTCTATTCTTACGATTACTTAGGAAACACTTTCTGTACATCCCCCCTCTCACCACTAGAG